GGGGGGGGACACATTCAAAGATGCAAAACAATTGTCCCCTTAGCCCAGGGGAAAGGTCGCAAAAACCCTTGTAGGCCTTGCGATTGCTGTCCTTTTGTCTGTTTGTCCTTTCCTTTCTTCTCCTAGTTCCTTGTCAAAAACAGGCCAATCACAGTGTTGCTTTGTATAGACAACAGCATGAGTTTCTCAGCACATGAGATGTTACACTCAATCTCTACTTGCGATTGCTGGCCATGTGTTCATCTGTTTTCCCCTTCGCTTCTCCCTCTCTCGCCTCCTCTGTAGCACAGGGCCAACCACATATTGAATGATAGTGGTGCTGATGGGGTATAAATCTGGAACGTATATCCCTGGGTGTGTATTGGATGTCTTAGACTGGATGTGTCTGACACTCTCCCTGACAATGGGTGGGTTTAAGGGCCACCTTTCAGTGCAGTGGGGATGTGAAGACAGGCGTATCCCCTCCTCCTCTCTCCTCACCTCTTTCCTCTTCCTTCTCCCTCCCTCCCTAACAGCCTCTCCCTCTCTTCCTCTGTCCTCTCTTTTGTTTCCCCTCTCCCTCCCTCCCTAGCACCCCCTCGCTCTCTTCCTCTGTCTTGTTTCCTCTCCTCCCTCCCTTCCTAACACCCCCCCCCTCTCTTCCTCTGCCCTCTCTCTCGTTTCCCCATTGTGGGGGCAGCGTTGGTTGCGTTCCTTTCCTGCCCTCCTCCAGCTCTCTTTCACTACTTTGAGAGAGATGCTCTCCTTCGCCCGATACTTCTCTGAGTTCTCTCCCTCACCACACGCCCTGCTTGCTTCCTTCCCATCTCATCCTCGCTCTCACCTCTGTCAGCTCCCCCTTCCTCTCTCCCGCACATTTTTTTTCACACTCTTTGGTGGTCTGTTGAGGATGATGAATTTTTATGTCCAACCTTCTGCAGCATCTGCTCGCTCGCCTCTTCTGGACTTAGCTGCATTCTGGATTCTTCTGCCTCCAGCTGGGCTTTCTTTTGTCGCACTGCTCTTATCTGCTCATGCAGTGCCAGTGCTCGCTGCTTGATTGGGCTTGACTGTAACTCCTGGAAAGTTGTAAACACACAGATGCCCACATAACAGTATCAGCCTAGAAGGCTAAAATCCATCAAATTGTTCAAAAAACTGAGCTCAATACACATATTACAACTACAATTCAATGGAATGTCCTTGCTTCCCTCCTACCCCCCCCCCTCCCTTCTCGCCCCCCTCCTGTGCACCCCGTCCCACCATTCAGGGTGAAGTAACACACTTTTGCAATTCGCATAGATGGAAAAAAGAAAACCGGAAGAAAGGAAAAACTCCGAAAAAGTTCAAAAAACAAAAGAAGGGTGAAGTAATGCACTCGGGCCATCAGAAATCTACGGGGCAGCATTTGCAATTGCATGCAATGAAGCAAGTCCTAGTGCGATTACGCCATGGTACCTAAGTTCCCAGCACAGATGAATCCCCTAGAGCTTTATGCCCTGTCATAGATCTTAATCGTGAAGTGAAAACTGTGGAGCACAGGAGTGATAAATGTGGACGGACGTGCATTCAGTCTTGACTGTTCTTGTCACTCAGCAAACAGTTATCGGGTTCCATACACCTAGATGAATTCTGACTGTTGGTTGCTGAATGCACCTGGACTGTTCTCATAGTGCATTCGGCAAGCAACAGTCCAGGTGGCAAGAATCTGTGTAGGAACAGGTTTATGAGAAGGCCAGTGGAAGGTAACTTTAAGTTTCCAGGGTTCAGAGTTCAGGGTTTTGGTGATTTAGGGTTCAGGGGGTGAGTGAGGTGAAACGCAAGCGCCCACGGTTAGCGCTAGTTTTTGCTCTGTCTCCCGGTAACTCACGGCGCCTCCCTGAACCAGCCGTGCGGGGAGTCCCCTCGGGCCAAGCGCAGAACTTTCCGCCGCGCAAATTTTTCGAAACTGAGCTGGAAGTCACGGGGCGGCCCGTGCTTTCGGGTGTGGCGAGGGAGAAGCCATCGCGAGAGACATCATAGCTCAGACAAGGCAACCCTGGAACAAGACAACCAAGGTCATCAAGTAGTAGCAACGAGATGACCGAAAAGGAGTAAAGACAGAGCTTCAAGAGCAAGGGGATAATTGAAGAGACAGAAGATTCAACAACTCCTTTACTGGCACCATTACAATCAATTAATCTAGGCTTCACATAATAGGTAGGAAACGGTAGGAGGAATACAACTGGGAGTGCAGGGATGGTGAAAGGAGTAAAAACTCAGGCTAACTTAGCCAGGGGTGAGGGATGGTACATCCTTCCTTATGGAAGTAATCAATGCCGTCTACTCGGGCCTCCCAGCCATCATGGGGAGGAGCGTGCATGAGTTTCATATGTATTTATTTTTGACTTGCCGGGGGAAAGGAACCGGACTGTCGCTCCCCAGAATGGTAGGAGCCAGAACCAGAAGGTTCTGTTATAAAAAAAAAAAAAAAAAAAAAAAAAAAAAAAGCTGCAAAAGATAGTGGAGAAGCGGAGTGGGAAAGCGCTAAGAAAGGGAGAAGCCTTACTTGGTAAAGAAGGAAAGCGGCCAAACGGAGGAAAAGAGGGAAAGTGGAACGGGTAAGGAAGAGGCGGAAAAAGAGAGGACAAAGAAGGGTGACGAGAGTTAAACTGGACGCGATCAAGTATCCACGAGAAAGGCGGCATCACTGTGAAGGAGCGAGGCCAGAAACACATGAGTGAGTCGACAGACGGCACCAGCGGGTGAACAAGAGGAAAGAGATAAGGGAAGAGAATGAGGAGAAACAAAAAGGAACAGTGAGGGAAAGGAAGGCCCCAACAGAGAAGGAACGGGAACGGACAAAGACACAACAGAGAGATCGAGGAAGGTCGAGGAAAAGGAGGCGAGGAGAAGTGGGAGAAGAGGAGAGTAAGACAAGCGATCACACGGTCTTACTAAAGATAGGAAATCTGGGAGAGAAAGAAAACGAAAAGGAGGAACAGCGAGAGGAAACGGGTAAGAGGAATCGAGAGGAAAAGAGCGGGTAAGATAGACAACTGTCACACCAACAGTATTCTGCCGAGAAAGGTAAGTTACAAATTAACTTCCTTCCAAAGCTACACAACGTTTACCAACCACATGAAGGCGAGGTGAGAAGCAGCAGAGAGCATCGAGGGCCACACCAAGGAGTAACAGGTGGATGAATTGGATGAGACGAAAACACATAGGTTGGGCATAGTGGGGCAAAAAGAGTAGAGAGTGGAGAAAACTGAGGAGGAACTAGAAACTATGGGTCCGCTAATCATGCACCCCACAAGGCCTGCCCCCACTCAAACACCCGGGACCTTTCAAACACAAAACACACTACCTCTCCCCACCGCCAACAAATCCCCAGCCCCATCACCCAGAACAATTGCCTCGCCCACTTCCTACCACCCACATCCCCTCCACCACGCGCCATCTTGAGCACCCACCGAACTGCCTCAATGCAAACATCCCCAAATAGTACTACCTCCCCTCTCAGTCATACACCCACAGATCCCCATCCCTCACGCAGCCAACCCCCCCTCTTCACCGTTCAATCCGACTCCCCTCCGCCCCTCTGCACCCCGCCCCCTAACCCTGATTTTTCCTCGCGCCCCTTCTCACCACCCTCCTCCACCATTCCCCTACCACATTTTTCGCCCCCGTCCCCGACCAGCCCTCCCCATACAATCTGCACCATTCACTACACACCTTTTCGTTCCTCCCTGCGTCAACCTCCTCCCGCTCCTACTCCTATCAGCTTAACACGCCCCATTTATCACCATCTTTATTTTATTATTATTAATATTTTTGGTAACAGGTCCTTAAGGTCCTGGCTCCATATCCAATCTGGGGAGCGTCAGTCCGGTTCCTTTCCACCGGCAAGCCCAGGATTGAAATACATGGTGAACACTCTCACGCTTCCTTCCGTCTGGCCAAAGGAACCCTGACCAGCATTGATTGCTCCATAACTGGAGGATTGACTGTCAGCTTGCCCTGCCACTTTTCCTCTCAGAATCTACTGTGACTCTGTCAGGTAATTCTCGTAAACGCCATAAAGCAAGAAAAGAAGAGAGTTGTCTGGATTGTTGAGATTGTAATCTCAGTTTGCCCATCACTGGGTCATCGTCCTTGCTGGATCTGCTCTGTGCCATTTCTTCCAAGTCAATCTGTTATCTGCCACGGTTGCAATCTTTCCCTGTAGAAGCCAGTTTCTCACGAAAGACCGTCTCTTGATGGCTAATCTTTCTGGTCAGACTTTCTTTGTTGATGTCCCCTCCCTCCATCTGGATCGAATCTTGGTTTCCACCATTCCCAGCAGTAGGTACCACATTTCTTCCTTTGCCACCTTGGTACCCTCAATAGTCTTGGTACACCTCCTTTGCCAGATCACCCATAGAACCAGCTTCCTGAGCAGGTGAAACCAGACTTCCTTGCGGCCTTTGAGATCGTTAGTATTGTTGGATAGGAGCAGGATGTTCAGAGGAGTAGTGGACGGAGGGGGTGATGAGAAGAGGAGGGACGATAGGTCGTGCACCTTGTTCCATATCCATGCTGCTTTAGTGCAATACAGGAGGCAGTGGGGTATGTCTTCCGGGATGTTGTCTGTGCACAACCTGCATAATTCGGACCTGTCGGAATCCGTATATCTCCTCCTCTTGTGGAGCCATTGGTTGACCGGTAGAGATGCGTGCGCTACGAGCCACTGCATGCTTCGGATCCTAACCGGTCTAATAGACAGGTACTTCGTCCAAGGGATGGAAATGGGGTCCGTGGGGTCTAGATTCAGGATCTCTCTCCATTTTCCTTCGAGTCTGCGGTCCGGATCTGTAGTCTGTTAACCCAGGTCATAACCGAATTTAACATCATATTTGAATATCGTCCTCCTTCTCCCGGACTTGCCCTGCTTCCAGACCCACTCTTTCGGGTCGAATTCGAGGTTTGAAATGCTAAGGTCCAGTTGTAAGATTTTCCAGGGCTTGGCCTTTGGGACCCTCACTTTTCTCAGACGGAAGGCTTCTAGTATGTCGTACTAGGGATCTCTGTTTAGGATTTCCAGCTCTTGTAGGCTATGATTGGTGATGGGGTATGAGTAAATTTGGATAAGTAGCTGCGTGGATCGATTCGAGAGACAAACCGATATGCTCTGGTAGGTTGGGTTTGGGAGATGAGCATACCCCAATCCCCGGACTTCCACGAAAATTCCTCCCTTAGGAGGGAGAGCCGCAGTATTGGAATGCTCGTCTAAATCAACGTTAGGTTTTCAGTAAGGGAGTGGCAGCCTTTAAATCATTTCGGAGCTCTTGTTCTGTGTACCATCATCCTCGATCATCTGCCCAGATGTGCTTCACCAGCCACACCCCTTTTTCCACCCACGACAACCATCTCCGGTCCCTTGCGCATAGTGTCCACGACATTCCGCTAGGGTTAATGATCTAGGCCCTTCTAGGGGTTGCAGAAAAGAGGTTGTCTCAGGACCTCTTCTCTGGTTCCTGGTGTGCCGTGTTTGCTTGGCATCGTTCTGCACCAGGCTTTGATGGCAGGGTTCCAGCATGAGATATATATTTGGGTGGGGGTTGTGGTAAGCTCTGCTGGGTTTCTTCTACGAGGTCTGCCTGATTTCATTGTCAAGTCCTTCGCCATTAACCAGAAGAGGCCTCTTATATTCAGGGGGGAGTTGATAGGTGCCAGGTTTCAAATGTTGTCTGGAGCCATCTGGGTCCATGGAATGAATTGTCTGATCAGGATCTCTTGATAACCCATTTCATCTGCCGTGCTATGGATTCCTGTTTGGGGTCAATTAGCCCAAGGCCCCTCTCCTGTGGTTTCCTAATAATGTGGTTCCAGGCTACTTTGTTGATATATGTGGTCCTATTGGGATCTCCTGTCCATAGATAACATCTCAACCTGTTTTTCAACGTCTTGAGGGTGTCGTCAGGGGGAGACCATTTGGAAGCCATTTACCACAGTGTGGAGAAGACTGCCGTGTTAATTAGTAGGGCTCGTCCGATTAATGAAGCCTGGGCGTTTTTGCATGGGGCCAAGCGGGTGATTGCCCTGGCAACTAGGTTTTGACCCATTCTAGGCCACGCTCCGTCCTTGTTAACCATGATACCAAGGCAACATAGTGCTTGATCTCCCGTCGTCCATGACATGGGTGTGGCTGTATCGTTTGGTTGGGGAAAGGTGCCATCTGCTAGCCACCACCCTTCAGTTTCGCCCCAATTTACGTTCATTTCTGATGCCGGTTTGAAGGCTTCCATTGCTCTCACAAGGGCTTGGAAAGAACAATTGTTGGCACGAATGAGGACAATAAGGTCATCGACGAACATTAGTGCAGTGGGTAGACCAAAGTCGTGTAATGGAGTGAAATTGCATTCAGTAAGGCGGTCGATAGAAGGGTCTTTCCGAAGGAAGGAAGCTATGGCTTCCATAACGAAGAGGAATATGAGCGGAGCTAATGGGTCGCCTTGTCTGACCGATCTTGATATCGAGTAGGTCTCCGATAGGATCCTATTGACCTGGACTCTGCCTGTTGCATCTGAGTAAAGGACTTTCACCCAATCTCTGAAGTCCGGGCCTACCCCCATTTTCTCCATGCAGGCATGGAGAAAATTCCAATTGACTTGGTCATAGGCCTTCTTGAAGTAAAAAAATAGGATTGCAGTTTCTTTGCTGCCTCATTCAGCGTCATCACATTGTCTGGTATGTACCGGCCCGGGATAAAGCCTGCTTGGTCGATGTGAAAGCATTTGTTCGTTAATTTTGTGATTATATTTGTCAGGATCTTGGCGAGGATTTTGTAGGGGGTGGTGAGTAGTGATATGGGTCTGTAGTTCTTTAGGTCATCTTTGTCTCCTTTCTTATGCAACAACGATACCACACTGGTGCTTAGTTGATTGCCTAGGCCTCCTCTTTGCCTACCATCGTTGTAAAAAATCGAGCAGGTCCTCTCCTAGGGTCGGCCAAAAGCAGCTCCAAAGTTCTTTTGAGAGGTCGTCAATGCCCGAAGCTTTGTCATTTCCCATCTGGGTCAGGGCTACGTGTAGCTCAACTAGGGTTAGGGGCTTGCCCAGGTCTTCCGCTTGGGTTTTCGAGATCGTCTTGTCGAGGTACGACAACATGAGTTGACAGGCTGCTAAGTTCGTTGTGGCTTGGGGTGAGGGTGTCTTTGATTCGTATAGGTATGTGTAGAATGCCCTGGCTATCCTAACCATCTCTGAACCTGTTGTTTTGATGTTCCCTTGATCTGTTGGGTCTTTCAGGCCCTCTATCTTGTTGTTCCTTGCATTCGCTTTGACCTTGCATGTAATTGCAGTCCTCTTAATTCCCATCTTCTCCATTCGTTCAGTTTTTCTTTAGTATCAGCTAGTACTTCCTGGTAGAGCTCGCGAGAGGGGTCCTCAACCAGGTTAGATTCTGCAACTGAGATGGCGAATTGGAGTTCCTCCCTTCTCCTCTTGCGGTCACCAGCTATGCCTCGTGATTCTAATGATATTGTTTGTAATGGTCTATGAACCATTGGTATCTATTTGACTGTCTGAACTCTTGCTGTTTATGGAAGGACCAATATTCTTTGACAGCAACCGACAACCTTTCGGTTGTTAAGAGGGCGTTGTTCAGCCTGAAATTTCCCTGACCTGTTTCGACTGGGGAATTGAAGTTGAGTAGCAATTGAATGAGTTTATGGTCCAGTCCTTTGAAAGCTTCAGATAAACGAATTTCAGCTTCTTTGACTGCACCTTGTAGGCTCTCAGATATGAGGAAGTAGTCAATCCTGGACAATGATGTCTGAGGTGCCTCTTACCAGGTGGTGGATATGCTCACCTAGGTTTGAATTGAAAGAGGCAGATTACCCAATTAAATTGGGGACAGAAGGCGAAACGACATCTTGTTACAACACAGCCTTTAGGTAACACCGGTGGAGTCCACCAATAAAGGTGGATCGCAGAGGATCTGTAGTACCTGCAATGTAATTTAATTGAATGAATAATTTCATGATTGAATGAATAATTTCATTTAATTAATTGAATTGGGGAAGGGATCTAAGAAAGTGTCTRAKAATAAGGCTATACTCAACATCGCCCACTTCGTGGAGAAAGGGGCCTATATCCAGAAATATCTATCTATCCTAATCGTAAGTTGAGTTGGAGAACCGTATGATAGGTGACTATCTTGTACGGTTCAGAGAGGACTCGATTAGCTTGGTTCTTCTTTATCCGGGGGAAGACTTTTTTTTTCCGGATGCAGTACCCTGAGCAGATCGATGCGTTCAAATTTTGTCATCAGATTTCGTATCCGGGCTCCCGCTCTTGTGGGACCCATTAGTACTGTCCTTGAGATCCGGTCCAGGTTCGGGGCCAGGGTCATGTTGCAGTCTCCTGCGATGATTACCGTTTGCGGGTTGGGGATGAGGGTTTTGATGTTATCAAAGAATGTCAGTCTTTCAGGTTCCGCATTAGGTGCATATAGGTTGAGAATTCTCAGGTCCTCTTCTTGCCAACCATGACCATCTGCCTTCCTCACTGTCACCCTCGCTGTTCAACATCTGGCCTTCAGTCAGAATTTTGGATGTTCTTGGTATGAGGATCGCAGTTCCTTTTTTGCTTTGGCCGTCTTTGTTGGACCATAGTGTGAATGCACATCCCCCTGCTGTTCTCTCCACCCTTCACTGTATTCTGGTGTGATTATTCAGATTGGACTGATGGGTCTCTTGGAAAAGTATCAGGTCGAGTATGGGATGGTCTTTCCCCACCAGGCCCATCCGGATATCTCTGATTTTGTCTTCTTCGGTTAGTACATTTCCTAGACCGTTGACATTCCAGCTTACTATTTGGGGACCCTTGGGATACCAGTTAATCCTGGGTGGGCTGCCTTGCCCATTGGAGGATTCCGTGGGGTCTGGCATTGGCTGTTACCTCTTTTTTCTCCTTGCACCCTTTTTTTTTTTTTTTTCGTTTGGTTGCCTATTGATTTGTGTTTTGTGGTTTTGTTTCCGCGTGTGTGGATTATGCATGCAGAACATCGATGAAGATATCGTCCACTGCCTGATAAATTGCCCAGCCGCCAGGAGGATATGGTCGAGAGTCACAAAGCTCTGGTTTTCCTTCTTCACGATGCTCCCACCCACCTCCCTGATTCCCATTCTGTTGGCCACCCAGATCCCGACCTACCTGAAAGGACTCCCGAAGGCCTGGTTTTTCGTGCTACGCAAAGGCACACTGTGGATCATTTGGAAACAGAGGTGTGCGGCAGTTCTTGAACAAATGGAGGTCGACCTTGGACAGTCCTGGAGCACACTCAGCTAGATGGTTTGGAACAACGTCAAAAGTAAGGTAAAGGTACCACTGAGTTTGGCCACGGCGGGTTTGAGGAGATCATCTTGATGTTCCTAAAAGGTTGGCTTCATGACGGCAAAACCGCGATAATTGCAGGCGGCAAACTCCGGTGGAGAAGCTGGGAGCCGGACACATACTCAGAGCAACCGATATCTCAAGCAAAGGATGTCAATCGACAGAGAAGGTCTAGTTAAGGAGGCTATTAGAAGTAAAGGAAGAGGAAGCCAGCTACAGAGGCAGCCATCAGGAGAAACTCAAAGAGCGAAAGCAAGAGAGGGTGAGAAGGGTACCACCTCACAAGTTTCGATAAGCTTAGGCGGAGCTGAATTTTTTGTCGGATGAAACCTGAGAGGAATAAGATGGGAGATGCAAGCTGACAGTCGCAGGATAGAAGAAGAAAATATCTGACCACATGGGAAAAAATCTCAGGCGGGAGGAATCTGAGCTCCATCAGGTCCAAGAATATCAACGGCCATCTACACCAGGTTCATTTGGTAAGCCGACTCTCAATCAGGCCCAGGTGGCCAAGGTCTGGTTTCAGGGATGGAGGTAAGCTGAAGTCTAGACTCTAGAGAGATACGGATGACGGAGTTGCCATCAACAGAAAATAGCACAGACAGTGAGGGCGGTTGTAGGGTAAAGTTCTCAGTGATCTCCATAGATCCCAGGGTACAAATTCAAGCTGGCAGTCTTGCCCACCGAGTCGGAGAGGAATTTTTGGAGATAGGCAAGCTGGCAGTGAATCCTCTATGAAAATCGAGTGATAAATGCTGTTCAGGGATTCTTCGGCCAACGGAAGGAGGCGTGTGTGAGTTCTTTGATGTAAATTTATGTTTTGCCGGTGGCAAAGGGACCGAACTGATGCTCCCCAGAATAGAAAAGGAGCCAGTACCATAAGGTTCTTTTTTTTTTTTTTTTTAAGAAAAGAAATTGCGGCAAGGTCAGAAATAAGGGCTTTGAAAAAAAAAAAGAAACTCAGGTTCTTATGGTCCCGGATCAGAAATAACTTCAAATAAGATATGACATCAGCTTAAAATTTAGGACACGAGTAGTGGCAATGACAACCTTCTAACAAGAAATTCAACCCCCCCCCCCAATGCACCCCCCACCCCCCAACCTGGTCTTTCCATCTGACGGTGATGTTTATCGGAGATCATCTGATCACTGTCATATTATCATGTATTGAAATTTTAAAATCTTGAATGGCATGGCAGGATGATGTGCATTCAAAAGGACCTTTCGGGATAGGGATACATGGGTTCTGTGGCATCCCTCTGAGACCTGCTGGTGCTTCTCCCTCCTGTTCCACCTTTGTCGTCTCCCCCTGCTCCCTCCTTGCTTCTTCCTCTCCTCCTCCTCCTCCTCCCTCCTTGCTTCTTCCTCTCCTCCTCCTCCTCCCTTCTTGCTTCTTCCTCTTCTCCTCCTTGCTTCTTCCTCTTCTCCTCCTCGTCCCTCCTCCCTCCTTGCTTCTTCTTCTTCTCCTCCTCCTCCCCTTCCTTGCTTCTTCCTTCGAGTTTCCCTTCTCGGCTCTTGTGTTCTTTCTGTCTGTTAGTGGAAGTTTCGGCCATGCAGCAATTGACAACCAGTGGGTTCCATAAGACAACGAGTTAGTTTGGTGCGGGAGCTGATCACCCGCATTACGACGAGCAATGGCGGGAGTTCATCACCCACCATAAGCCGAGGGGGAACTGTACAAAGTTGATTGTACGTGGGATTTGTACCCGTAAGGCCCCCAAGTATGTGCGATATCTCGAAGCGTTTATGGTTTCGTAGCTAAATCATTTTTACGTTTTGGTTATGAAGTTTCTTTGCAAAACTTTAGACAAAGGTGCTATTTCCATTTCGGGTCCCTATGGAATTTCCACCACATTTCAAAAATTAGCAAAGCAAATAAGTACACTTCAAAGTGGCTTTGTGCACCATTATCCTTTTGTGTACAAATACACAGAGCCAACAGCAGTAATGAACAAAACGGGAAGAGCTACTACTGAGTTCTTAATCTTTTCCAATATTCTTGAAGTGGATGGATTCTGTTATAACATTCACAATGGTTTCATTTGTAGAGACATTTTCCGAACTAAGGTCAAGACTCAAGAGTTGTAAGTAGGGTGGGATCTTCACCCGTGAAGTAACTTAGGTGTTCTTGTTCTCGCCAGGATTTGAACCTGAAACCAAACGAGGTAAGTTACGGTAAGTACAGTTGTTTTGTTTTTCTTCACTGTTTGGAAGGATTGTGAGTTCTTGGACCCGGGACCTGAGTCTAGAGTCTCTATTTGTCTAGTATAGTGGGTGGTTTAACCTTCTGGCAAGTAACTTTAGGCTTTTGTTCTCGGAGGGGGACCCCGAAGGCCCAGGCAAGTTGCAGCTCCTGAAAAGTGAGGAGTTGGGGCAAGCTCGCATTCAGAAATCATTCATCATATTCTTGGTTCTTGGTGATCCCAGGAAGTGCACTACTTTCAGCATTCGTTGAGGAGAGAGAGGATGCAGCCATAGCCAGCAGCCATACCCATTAAGAACTTGCTGTTCACTGGACGGTTTCTTGAGCCGATGCCGATTGTCGCATGTTGCTCAGGGAGGCAGGGCTCTTAATTCTACATCTGGTTCCATAACTTCCATCAACTACTTTGGGTGTGATTGTTCAATTCCGATTTTGTGCGAAGATGGCAATCAGAAAAAAAAAAAGAAAAAAAAGTGTGACCTTATCTCAATCAGATCCTTAAAAGTTGTAACAGAGAGTGGAAACTAGTAGGGGCAGAAAAGAAAAAGGACAATAAGTAGGTGACTCACACTGCAAGGGCTAGGCTGACTCTTTTTCAACTCTGTTCTTTTGGCTCTTTCTCTTTGTACTCATGCTTGCCGGTGATAAGCAACCGG